TAACCCTCACAGGACACAGTGTTCTGCACCAGGTAGTGTTCTTAGGACTTACCAAGGAGTCTGACAGGATGGTTCAGAGAAGGCAACGTTACTAAATCTGTAGTCTGAAAGGAAAATCATCTCTGAAAAGCTGAATATACTCAATATATAATCAATGGTGATTTAAGAAAAGTTCATCACAAATTATATCCGACTAGAAAAAACATGTATCAGTGTAAACAGTGCAGTTGGTGAATGACAATGATGCTAAAGCCAATCCGTGCTGAGCCTGTAAGCTGAGAAATCAGTATTTAGGATTGATCATCCAAATATCATATCATTTTTAATCATCAACGGACCATTTTCATCAACTTAATGAGGCTGCCTTACACCATCAACCAGGAAATATGTTTTTTAAGTATTTGGAAGTCTGAAATTACTGGGAATTTAAAGATCATTGTGTGCTTTGGAAACTAATTTAAATAAAATACCGAAGATTCAATTTTGAGAAAAAGAGTTTATTAACCTAAAGTGTATAGGATACCTTATTTTTAGTAAGATCTCAAAACCTGCCAGTTACAGAAGCAGGAGTATAGTTCATGACTGAACTGACACATCCACATTCAGACTAAATATAGCATGACTTTTGCTAAATAAGTAACCAGCCTACCAGCACTCGGTGAGTTTATCACAACTAAAATATTACTGGTTTGTTAAGATGGGCTGGGGGAAACCTGATGGTAAACCACCATAGTGAGAAGGTAACTAAGAGCGACCATACACATACTTCTGTTTCCCAGGTGTGAGCATACAGGGAAGGAAAGGATCCAGGACAGAGCTGTATGATTTTTAACACTGTGATATGTTTACTTGGGTGGTTAATCCCGTCTGACTGCTCACTAAAGTGTTTCAAAGTTCCGTGCCAGACTGAGTGGGATTTGTCACTGCTGCAGATTTGTCCTGGGGGCTCTGATTTATCCCTCCCCTTCTCCACTCATGGGTTTCAGCACACACAGGAATACTCATCTTCCCTTCTCTTTCAGACAAAAAATTCCCCCCTTGTCCCAGTCCCACAGTGAAAGCCATGGTTCTCAAACAACCCAGTTAGGGGGAAAAATAAAAATAAAGACTTCAAGATTCACTGTAAACAGATGACCTGGGCACCTCTATTTCACAACTCTTGCTCTTTCAGAGCAAAGCACCAGGCGTGTCCCTAAAATACAACCAACCATTTTCCTAAGGAACTCTAAAAATAAGATGTCACTGTCACTTTTTGTCACAAGGCTCATCTCACAGCAATCCAGGATAACGGGGACAGGTATAAGCAGGCTAAATAACTTGGATAATACAGTTTGCTTTCATAAACACTGGACTTTGAAAATCTTATTAAAAACCCCTTATTATTTCTTAAGCATCGGAGCGGAGAAGCGGGTCAAACACGAGCAGCATAAACCCTGCAGCCCTGTGCAGAAACAGGAGAGACTGGCAGAGAGGAGGAGATTGTTAGTCTACGAGCCAGATAATTGTGTATTTGAATGGTAGTTTGCAGGTGTAAAAAAGATGAATGAAAATGTCCCAACTGGAGACTAACAAAAAAAACCACCACAACAAAAAAACACCACAAGAAAAACCCACCCAACCTGGCACCCAGCACCTATAAAGAGGCACTCAGACACCTCAGCTGTATTCCTCCGAAGGCGATTACGAACTGCTCTTTATGTCCTCAGTAAATAAAGCCTTTCACCTACTGATCTGTAAACCTGAAATGTTGTTTTTTAGCACTTGGATCAATAGCTTGGAAAAAAACATTTTACAAGTCCAAGTTTAATAGCGTGGTGACGATTTGAATGTCAACTTGCGAGAGATTTTAAAAGCAGAATTGAAAAACAGATACTCCACCCCTCTTAAAGAAGTATAAAAACTAAATATAATCAAATATAAACCAGTGTTGGGTTTTTTTTTTCCCATAAGGAATAGTACATAACATGGCAATCCTACTCTGTAACGATCTTTTGCACATCTGGCTTTGTTTTGTGTTGAAATTGTAGTAATCTACTTAATTTGACTATGTTCCTTTGAATAAAAAGTTTTTGAGGCCACTGAATTATTACTTGATATCAAATTGTAAGCCCAGAGTGTTCCAGCCCTCTTCAAATAACAAAAACCAACTAGATCAGCAAGAACTCCACCTAGCCTTTTGCTTTAGGAGGGAAAACCAGTCTTTATTCTAGAAGCAGATTCACCCTATCATGAACTGCTCTCTGTGCTGCCCCTGTGCCAGGGAGCTGCAGTCAGAGGGCGAGAGCACTTTGCCATGACACCACCCAAAAACCTGACAGTCAGAGTAATCAGAGTGGATGCAGAAGTGTCACCTGTGAAGACAAGGTTGGTCTAATGTACCTCAGGTTCACTCTCTGCGCCTTCCAGTTCACACTGATAAATTTCTTCTTTAAAAAAAAAAAAAAAAATAAAAAAAAAAATGTGTTTGATATAAACTTGTAAGTAATGTAATAAACTTTTAAACCAATATTCAAACCTTTAAAAGAGTAAGGAAAAGTGACACAGAGCGAGATGGTCATTTTTAAAGAAAACAGTATGTTCACCAAGAAAAATAACTGCTGCAGGCTCTTTAGGAAATGCTGATTTTCCATCTTAGAGAGGCACATTAAACAGTTTGTGTATCGTTTCCCATTACACTTTCTATTGTATAGATTTGATATTCTGTCACTTAAAAACTAAGCCAACTTTTCTGCAAACGTTGTCTTTTTCACTATTGTTACTTTGGCAGGGAAGCGGAGGCAAAGGGGCCTGTCCCCACGGCGAGGCAGGGAGGGGCAGGGAAGGTGCAGAGATGCTCTGTTAACCAGAGCCAACGCCGAATTCTTTGAGGTCAATTAGTTGAACTGCTTGGGTAAGGAAGGTCCCAGGCTCCAGGGCAGCCCTGGCTTCGGAAGCATTTTCTTAAGTAATCCTGACCTGATCTATACTCCACACTTTCCAAATTTCACAGTTGAGCTATTTCCCCACTTCTTTTTAAAAACAACTAAGAAGAAACTTAGGAGATACTATGTATTTTACACCAACTGAAAATAACTTTAAAAGATTCTAAGTTTGTGATTTTAGAAATAAAGAAAGTATAACTGGATAAATACTGACTTAGGAATTTTAAACTTATTTTCATTCAAGAACATTTGTGTTGATAGGTGGGCAATTGTGTTCTTTTTAATTTAATAAAATTTTTATGTTCACAAAAGTACTTGCATACCTTAAAAAAAAAACCAAACAAACAAAAACCTTTTCAATTCAAATTGACCAAATCAGCAACAAAAAAAATTAAATTAAGAGACACTGCTGTAACAGACTTCAAACTAAAGTGTGACAAGGGACAGTGGTAGGCTAGGCGAGCAGAGGAAGTTATTTAAATTTTCTTCCTTTTAAGACATAAACATCTCTACTACAGATCTTCAGATCTCACTGCTGAAGGACAAAATTTCTAGAAAGTTAATGCCATTTTCCAGTATTGATTTGATACATCCAGCAATAACTAGAAAAAGCCTCATGTATTTCAGAAAGCAGGAGAAAAAAAAAAAAACAACAAAAAAAAAACCAACAGTAAACCAGCCCTGTCATGTCTGTGTGTCCATTTACAGTTCATCACTTTGGTACACAGCAGCTTTATGTAGAAAAAGGGTCATGTAACTTGGTTTCCCTGTTGTTTTCCCTTTTAATTTACAGAAGTATAATGGAATTTTTTTTTTCCTCCTTGCAGTCATTAAAAGACTCATTTTTCAAAATAACTTCATGTTCCCATGGTTCAGTGAAGCTGAATATGCTATTTTTGATCCTGTTTTCCTAATGGCTAGATTTTTGTATTTGATATTAAAGTTAAAAAAAAAAAAAATTCCTGAAGTTCTGATTTCTATGAAAAGCATCGTAGAAGGCAAAACCATGTTAAAACAAATTACTTTTTAATGACCTCATGTTCTTGTCTTTGTAGGCTTTCATATCGGACTGGTCAAGACACGGCTAATTGCGACACATGCAGGAACAGTGCATGTATTATCTATAGGTAGGTTAAAAATACTAATATTCCCACTTTTTCCTCAGCTAAAGTAATGATTTATTCACTAATGCAAGATCAACTGATTTTTCAATACCACAAGAACAGTTTAAAAACAGAAAACAAATTAAACTTCACTAAACTAGTAAAATTCAACAGACACCTGTTTCGACACGAGTCTAAACTTTTCAGATCAAGGTTATGGTCACTACTACTGCTGTAGCTCGTGGATGTGAAGTCAGGAGCTTCATTTTCACATTGCTAGAGAACCCGAGAACGTTCTGTCCAACAAGTTAACATCATTCAGATTTATTTTTACAGCGTTAACACCTGGATTTGGGAAGCAATTTTGAGCGACTGTATAGCAAAGACAACCAGATACAGACTCAATCTAGACAGTTTTCTCAGTAGAACAACATGGCTGCCCAGGCTTTTAAGTACTCTTACACTGTTTTAAAACATGTCCAGCAAATACATCCTGCCCAACACCAACAGCACCACTAACTGATTTAAATTGGACATTTAAAGTCTTCGTGCAACCCAGGAGTGAAGGCTTTGCTGTGTGCAAAGATCTCCTCTGGCAGCCCCGCTGCACTCTACGGTTCTGTCAGGGGAATACAGGTTTGCTCACTCCTGTCAAACAGATAAAGTTACAGACTGCTTAAAGGTTTTCTTAAAGATTGCTTGTACCTGCTATAATCTCCTACATAAGGAAACACTTGGGGTGATTACTCACTAGAAAAGGTAAAAGGATAACGCTTTTTATTTCTCCAAAACAGAGTCTCCCCTCCTAAAGTTTATCAGGCACAAGACCCATTTTGGCACGTACAGTATTAAAGTGAAGGAGTAAGACAGGCAGTGGGCATGACGTGAAGCCGTCAGGACTCTGATGTGTTTCACACTGACAACTTAATTCTCCTCCTCCATTAGAGTCTGAAAAAAAGCCCCAACTATTTTCACGCGTTGCAGGTAAGATGAAAGCAAACGCATCGTGGGGTTAGAGTATTTCAGAAAATGGGGCAGTATATTACAGATGAAAATGTATAAAGATGACAATTAATTACAGTGAAGATACAAGCTAAACTGAAGGTACAAATGTCAGCTAGCTCTAAAAAGCATAGGATTTCCCCCTTCACCCCTTAATTCTCTGCTCGGTCTCAGATTTAGGCAGCAGACCCAGAGGCATTTATACGTTATTGCCTAGCTGCCTAGAAGTGAAGGGAAAAAGGATGGAAAACTTCAACTTCATCTTTTCTACTTAACAGCTAAGCAAAAAGGGGAATGATGCTGTTCTGTGCAGGGAAAAGAACCAATTCATTTATTTTTTCATCCATTAGAGCAGTGTATAGAAGCATATAAATAGCCAAAGCCTACTGTGCCTCCCTTTTTCTGAGCCCACCTCTCTGGAATTTCTTGCTCAGGGCAGCCTGGGAAGGTACAGCTTAGCACATTTCTATCACGGAAACTATTTTTGTTTCATTAGATAAGAAAAATCCAATTGGAAATTTTTTAAAATCTTGATGTCTAAGTCGGCAGATTGGAAGTTAAGGAACCTTCCAGCTTCTCCCTCTTACACTGCAAATGAAGTGACTCCAGAAATGCAGATTTCAGGAGTTTCCCTACTGACAGACAAAGAGCGTAGCAGGCAGGTCTCCAGTATTCCCCCCAGAATAGCCATTTGGACTGAGGCTATCAATGATGGGCATTCGCCTAAAGCAACATTTGCAGGGGAAGTTTCAGCAAAAATCAGCTCATCTCTTTGACAATCAGGAGACTATATGCTGCAGGCACGAACTCTAAAACCAGAAGACAGTGAAGAACAGAGGAACTACGAGAAGATTGAATTACTAAGACAAGTAGCCAGAAAGGATAAAAGAGAAATTCACTGATAAAACCACCACTAAGACAGGCTGCCTTGGAGCTTCTGCTCCTCCACAAGTCAAATACTACAGTTGGGAAACCAAGAGCAGCAGCATTTCATTAGTACGGATGCTCGAGCTACTCTTAAATCTAGAAGCAATGATACACGCCGCACCTTTGCAAAGGGTTTGCGTGACAACCGCTGCAGTTACGTGATTGATTTTGATGTCAAAACACCTTTTGGGGACAGAAATCAAAAATCAGATTAAAGCGTTCCAAGATGAAGTGAAAACCTGGGGTTATCCCTGAGGGCACCGAACCCTCCAAGCTGTCAGTGATCAGGGGTCAGAGCGGGAGGATCATCCTGTCTGACCTCCTGCACCGTCCCCTAACGGCTTTTACAACTAGTTCAGACCCTCCTCAGTCTTGACCTCTTTCACCCAAGTAGATGGGGGAGACTTAAGAAAAAATATAGTCAATACTCTTATGGGACAAACCAAAAATTTCAAGAGAGAACCCTAACTTTTCCATAATTTATTTAAAAAAAATAAAATAAAATTCAATTTTGAACACAGTAACATTAAAAATATTCAGAGCTCTCTCAAACCTTTATTTTTAAACTGCAGTCAAACAGCATCTTAGAAGAAGGACTAAGTTGTCCTACTGACTACCCAGCTGCATCCTGTAATGTCAAGTATAGCACATGAGAAGCTAGAGAGGAGAAGCAATGTAATTAAATTCTTCCTCCTCACGATTACATTTTAGAGCATTAATACAACGTGGCACAAAAGCTAGAGACAGTGTAGAAGGTAAAAAACCCCTGCTGTACTTTAAGGGGTTTTTAGTTCCTTTTCAGTATCAAAAATGCTGATACTGTTAGTAAATATTCCAAGATTAGTTTTTTCGGGAATAAAATTGCATATGAAATTTACATTTTTCTATCTATTTTTATACTATTTTGTCTTTTTGTTGAAACGAATGCATACTACTTAGTATAAAAGAAAAAAGGAAAACCAGGTTACTGCCTCTTTTTTTTTTTTTTTTAATAAATAGGAAACTGCTCAGACATCACACACTATTAAAAAGACAACATACAGAAATCTTTTAACTGCTTTAGAAATCAATAGGAAAATCAACACATCTAAATTTGATTCCCCACTTCCCTCAAAAATTCTACTTATTTCTGCAATGAAAAAATACATTCAGGAACTTCTCAGGAACTCTAGACACAATTTCAGAGGGGAAAAGGCTTGAGTCAGCACCCTGAAGGCTTCCCCAGCCTATGGTCACTGGGATTTGGGTAAGGACAGGATTAGTTGTGCTGCTTACAGATCTTGAGGCTCAAACAGAGCAGAAAAAATTTTATTGGGCAACACCATCACTACAGGGTTTTAAAGCCTGAGTATACAGTCCCAACTACATAGCAACAGTCAGTAAAAAGTATTCAGCATCGTGTCTGCATAGTAATTTCCAGACAGTATTTAAAGTAGTAGTTGAAAATGTGATTTGTGATGGAGTAAAAATAAACAACCATTTTATCAAATGTTAATCTGTGTCAAATGTTAATCTATTCCATTAGCATCCAAATCTCATAAACAGTTTCAAAAACATCTTCTACAAATGAAGAGACAAATCTACAAACAAAAGACAAACAAACTTCTACATCTGTCTTTTAAAAACTAATATAGACTCATCATGGAAAAGTTTAAAGATAGAAAAATAGTTTTATGAGGGTATATTGTCTGGACAAAGTCAACTTAAATACTGAAGTCTAGAAAATTTCTTATTAAAAAGAAATTGCATTGATATGCAGAAACTGTACCAATTCTGTAACACCCAAAACCCACGTGGACTAAATCTTATCAGCCTGTTTTATTCTGTTATTTTTTAGCGAAACTGCCCTTTCCACTCCTGTTTAAAATTCACATGGGATGGTCATTTAATCCTTCAACAGAAATCTGTAGGAGAAAATGAGTTTTCTGTTTAATATTTTGTGCATTATTCTAAGGCTTTTGTGGTGAATTATTTTCATGAAGAGCATCCTGAGGAATTCATGCCAGACTTCCCTTAGTCACAGAGGTCAGAAGCACTCCGCTTTTACAAGACTTTAGCTTCTGGAAGCAAACTTTTTACTAGATGAAATCACTAGCCAGTTTCTGCAGAGAGGGAACAAACAAACTTAAATCAATACTATTCTATTGCAGTTGTTGGAGGGAAAAATTATTCAAAGCTGTGTCGACTATTAATTTGGCTACTTTTAACTCCTTTGAAACTTTGAATAAATATATGCTGGGTTTCAGTATTTAATTTTGTCTTTGATATTGAAGTTCTTCTAAGGTGCACTCCAGCTGTTCAGCAGAAACTATATTAACAGAATTTATGAAATTTAACTCTCAATACAACAGGGGCAAATAAACCAGGTCAAAATCCTGATGATGGCAAGTTAACTAGGTAGTAGGGGAGCCCACGTGGAAGTACTTCATTTGTAAAGATCAGATATACTGGTAATTATTAAAGTTAATAAATACGGCAATACAAAGTGAAAGTAAGACATGTAGACATAAATTCCCAAGATGTCGTTAGTATAGCAAAATCAGGTAGCTAATGATGAGAATAGTGATTTTCATCCTCTTTTTATTTCCTACCCACACTAATTAATTTACATTTTTCTCCTTGGATCTCTAGACTGTAAGATGCTTAGTAGTAAAAATGGATCTTAATAGCTTGCTAACACTGACAGTGCTTTGGATCCTGGGCATTTGAGATTTTTCAGGTTGAAAGAGGAAATTTAACAAAGATTGCTTAAAAGTATATTAAACTAATTTTCGAGTGATTAGCGCTTATCTGGACCCCATTCTTCCAGGCTGTAGCATGGACTAATGCCATGTCATCCAATTAACATGACCCAGAAGGAGACATGATATTCTTTAATTCCTTCTTCACCTAGGCTGCTTAAATGCCAAGAGTTAAGCCGCTCTACAAATGCTTGCAGGATTTGGTCCTTAACATTACAAACTAGGTAATAAAAAGGTAAACAGAAAGGCTGTAGAAGTAGTGAGCAATGAGTAGAAGGGAGAAAGCAGAGGGACAGGCTACCCAGAGCCTGTGCAGGCTCCATCCTTGAAAGTTTCAAGAGACAAGTAGATAAAGCCCTCAGCAACCCCATCCTGAACCTGAATTATTCTGATTTGGTGATCTGACAAGTAACCAACATACCCAACCATTAGCATCTAATAGCCTAAAAATGATTCATGTTACGAACGTGTGACTGTGTTAGAAAAGAAGAAAACCCATCCACATTTCTAAGCTTGTTGCTAGATACCCTCCCACAGTCCATATGCTTAAAACCAAATGGTTATGACTCCTCAAACTCTGTTTTCAATCCCTTATACAGCAACAGAATTAGAAAAAGTTCACTCTGCTGCCAGGGTGCAAAAATAAACTCATTACCATATATTCTCAAAATCATTAAAAAAAAACACCCCACGAAGCCAAAACCAGAAAATCCGCTGCACCAACCCCTAATCCTCAGCGCGAGGGTTTAGACGACGGGAGGAGCCACGGCCGGAGCACGCTGGCCATCTTGAGCAAGGGGTCATGACTGTCCCCCTTGGCTCTGAGCCCCTTTATCACACAGCGAGCCCCACGGACAGGTCACAACACCTCTGGTAAGCCCTGGATCTCACCCCTGGGCGTTACGTGGCCTGTCCTGCCACACAAACCCCACGGACACTTCGGAGTGTCCTCGGGGCATGGCTGCAGGCCCAGGGCGCCCTGAGCCCAGCATCGCTGCTGTGGGTCCGGGCTTCACTCCCTGCCCTCAGGCATCACGCATGGAGCGGGCAGTCCTCCACTGATGAGGTATTCAGTACTTTTTGTTTCCCGAATACAATTCAAATTCTGCATAGAAAATAGTTTTGTTCCCCATTTGTCCTGGGTTACTCGTTATTACATGTGAGCCTTCGTTGTTTTCCACAGTAACGCCATTTCACAGATACAAAAAGCAAGGGGTAGGGGACAGAAAGCCCAAAGCAAAAAACGCAGACAAATGCCACAGAAGTTCCCACTCACTGACTTCAGTTCAATTTGTATCAGGCTGCCCCTCGCTGACCAGGTTTAGTTTTGGGCCCCTCACCCCAAAAAGGCCATTGAGTGACTCGAGCGTGGCCAGAGAAGGGCAACGGAGCTGGGGCAGGGTCTGGAGCACAG